CCATACAATCTTGATGTCTCATAAGCCAATGGAAAATAACGGTAGATATGTGGTCAAGCCAGGGTGTTGCATAAAAGAAAGTTTGATATGGGATCTGAAGAAAGGTTGGAGAGAATAACACACCAGGCACTTGGCTGAGGTTTCTTCTTAGAGACTCAGGGCTCAGTAAAAACAATAACAAGAGGGCTGGGGTTGTGGCTCAGTTGTAGAGCGCTTGCCTAGGGTGTGTGAGGCAGTGGGTTCGATTCTCAGCACCACATATAAATAAATAAACAAAATAAAGGTCCATCAACAACTAAAAAAAAGCAATAACAAGAATGTATTAAAATAAAGATGAAATACTCTATAGCGGCCACTACACAATTAAGTTAGACAAAATCTTAGAGGACATCTAGCTTGAGGGCAGGGTTTCAAAAAGTTGGAACTGGAGGACACTATGTGCAAACCAAACTGTAAATGGGGATCCTATAAGTAAGATGTAAAAGTGAGTTAAGGTGGTTGAAGAGGGGAGCCAGTGCCTCTCCCACAGCCTCCCATCTCCCACACCAGTTTCTACTTCCCCTTCCTGTTGTAGCTTCTAAGGTCCGGGTGCAGTTTTACAGAGGAGGGGTTGATGCCCCATAGACCTGCTCACTGTCATACATTAATGTCTTCCTGCTCAAGTCATTGCTGTCCCCACCCCTTAGTCCTCATGCAGTTACAGGAAAGTACAGACCAAACATGTTCCCAGGATGCCTAGTTGTTTCCCAAACAACTCCCCCCCCACCCCCACCTTATTTATTTTGCCATGCTGGGGATAGAACCCAGGGCATATAAGCTACCACTAAGCTACATCCCCAAGGCTTTTTATTTTTTGAGATAGGATCTTGCTAAGTTCCTGACATTGGCCTTGAATTTGCAATCCTCCTGCCTCAGCCTCCCAAGACACTGTAATTATAGGCATGTGCCCCTATGCCTGGATGATATGTGGCTTTTTGACACCATGTTTTGGGGAAATTTTCAAACAGAACATCTGTCCCCTTGCTGTACCTCAAGGAATCCAGGCAACTTCTGAGACATCAGCCAAAAGCTGAGGGTTCCAACCTTGTCGGGGAATACTTGGTCAGAACAGAAAAGGCCTGATGACCTAGAGCTCAGGGGTGGAGTGGGGGGGAGATGGTTAAATTAACTGAGCACAGGAAGGGTGTGACAGGGATCTCTCTAAAATTCCCAAGTAACAGTCAATCAAATGGATGCCAAGGAATCTCCTGTCTAAAAAGTATAACCATAAGTTTGATGCACACAAAGTCTCCTTGGTGATTTTTCTACAGGAAGTTGAAGTCATGTTTAAATGTTTAAAAAGACAACACTAGGAGGGAGGGCTGCAGAGGGAGAATGTACTTCTGAGTCAGACTAGAGTCACTTGGTCACTTTGAGCCTCTGTTTTCTTGTGTGTACAATGGTTGTAATGATATCTACTTTGCAGGTAGTGGGAAGGATTATAAACAGTGAAAGTACCCTGTGTGTGCCTGAAGCACAGTGAGTGTTGGATAAATGGCAGGTGCTAGTAATGTTTCTGAAGCAGTACAGCCTCATAGTTAGAGAGCATGGACTGCAATGCCAGTTAGACTTGGGGGTGAGACTGGCTTTGCCACACATATGCCTCATCAATCACATGGAGATAATGAAAGAATGTCATAAAGTCATTCTGGGGCTCAACTAGCACAACCCTTACTGAATTCTCACTATAATTAGGCATTCTCCATATATGAATTTTTTTAATAAACTAGGAGAGAGATACCATTACATTTCCCATCACACATATCTGCGGAAACTGAGGCTCAAGTTAAGTGACTTGCCCAAGATTACTCAGACAAATAATGGGAGTGCTAATATTTACAGCAGTACCTCATCATCTGTTGTTTGCTTTTTGCAGTTACAGTTACCCTCAGTCAATAATCACCTGAAAATATTGTGGAAATTTTCATAATTTTAAATTGTGCGTAGTTCTGAATAGTGTGATGAATCTGAAGCCACCCTGCCTAGGACATGAATCATCCCTTAGTACAATGTGTCCACACTGTATGTACTATCAACCATTATGAGTCATTTAACATCCTTCTAGGTTACAAGATCACCTATCATAGTGCTTGTTCAAGTGACCCTTATTTTGAAAATTATGAGAATAATGATTCTGGTGATTTTATTATGGTATATTGGTGTATTGTTATAATTGTTCATATATATACATATGTTTATATATATATATATATATATATATATATATACATACATACACACCATGGGGATTTAATTACAGGGGCACTTAATCACTGAACCACATCCCTAAACCTTTTTATTTTTTGTTTTGAGACAGGGTCTCACTAAGTTGCTTAGAGCCTCTCTAAGTTGCTGAGGCTGGCTTTGAACTTGCAATCTTCCTGCCTCAGCTTCCCAAGCTGTTGGGATTACGGGCATGCATCACTATGCCTGGATATTCTATTTTATTATTGTTGTTAATATCTTTTTAAATATTTTGTTTACTTAGTTGACACAATACCTTTATTTTATTTTTATGAGATGCTGAGGATCGAACCTAGGGCCTCGAACATGCTAGGTGAGCACTCTAATGCTGAGCTCCAGCCCCAGCCCCTATTTCTTACCATGCCAAGTGTAATATTTATCATAGATAAATACGGATAGGAAAAAACATAGTTCAGATGTCTAGGATTCAGAATTATCCGTGGTTTCAGATATCCATTGGGGACTTTGGAATGTAACCTCTATGGATAAAGGAGACTAACCCCAAGCAGTCTGTCTCCAGAGTTCCTATACTTCTTCATTGTTCTAGGTTCTCAAGGTTTTAACTAGTTAAAGGCACAAAGGAAGTTCCCAATAAACATTAGTTATAGTGGCTATGGAATAATAATAATGAATTTTAATTTTTTCTCATTTTCCTTTATAATAATGTATTTTTAAAAGACATACTATGACAGCTATTTTGGGTTAAAGAATTTAACTAAATTCTTATCTTTAACTTTTATGGAGGACAGGCTGATCCTTCCCATCTTTATATCTAAGAGTACGTGAAACACAGAACCTGGCAGAGAATAAGAACTCACTAATTGTTACTGGATGATATATGATATCAGTGGTCCTTTTGGGGAAGGCTGGTAGTGACTAAGCTACTACCGAACTAGGCCACATTAGATCCCCTTTGCCCAGCTCTTTGTTCCAAGGTCACTGAAGGGCCATGATTCTCATAAACATTTTAATTGGCCTGCCATTATTGCATAATCTCCATCTACTGGCTCCACCTCTCTCATCACCCAGTTCCAGACAACCACACCCAAACTCGTCTCTCTCCCTTTAAACACGCTCCTGGCACATTAGGCTCTTGGGTTTTCCACATACCAGAAGGTTCCCTCTTTATCTTGCATACGATCCATTTTCTGCCTGTCAGTTTTGTGTCTGCTTTCTGAATGACTCAGACCTCCCACTTCACCCCAATCTCTATGACTTTCTTTTTTTTTTTTTTTGGTACTGGGAATTGAACTCAGGGGCACTCAATCACTGAGCCACATCCTCAGCCCTATTTTGTATTTTCTTTAGAGACAGGGTCTCACTGAGTTGCTTAGGGCCTCACTGTTGCTGAGGGTGGTTTTGAACTCGTGAGCCTCCTGCCTCAGCCTCCTGAGCTGCTGGGATTACAGGTGTGCACCACCTTGCCAGCTCCCTGACTTTTGATACAAAAGCTGTTGAGTTATCTACTTCTTATCTCTTGGCCATCAAAACATCCATCTCAAGGTCAGGCTTTGCAGCTGCAAAGGAGGAATAAGCTTGGGATTTCATCATCATCAATTCATTCTAAAGTCACTTTCTGTCAGTGTTAACAGAGACCTTCCTGTGCCTGTCTGTTCAGAAGCCTGGGGCTCTCTGGGATTCCTCCAAAACTGTCATATTCCTTCGAGAGACCAGAGATAGCATTCATATGCTCACAGACTACACCAATCCTGTCACACAGGGAATTCTACACAGAAGTCCTGAGCCTTCAATAAACCAAGTTGTAGGCCAATCTTGCCTCCCTGGATTCTACTAGAGAGTCCTGTGAGTGAAAGCTTTACTTGGCCTTTTTCTCCAGCTAACATAAATAATAACTTACCAATTGTGACCAAATCAGGTATATGGATATGCGTGTTTCAACAGGCTTGGAGCTGGTCTGGACACGGAAGCAGAGGGAGGGTGAGGACCAAGAGCAGGAGCATGGCCCTGGGTGGGGCAGAAGGCGTCCTCCTGTCACCTCCAGCATGTGACTCATTTCTAGATGTTACTTCCCTCAAGATTTCCTCCCCATCTCATCCTTCTGCTTGTTCCTCTTGCCACACACCACACAACTTCCATTTTCCTTATTTGCCCTGTATGTACTTTTTATCTTCTATTAATGTACTATTCTCTCTCTCTCTCTCTCTCTCTGAAAAGCCGATCTCCATTTTTGCTTCCATTCCCTAACTCCCTGGCTTCAGTCAGGCCTCCAATTCCCTTTGACTTTATGACAACTCCAAATTAAAGATAATTTTACTGGGGTACCATGGTCTAAAACACTGCTCAGATGCACATTTCCCTCCCATGAGCATATCTTCACTAAGCCCATTCTCTGTGCTCCAAAAGGGCACAATTCAGTGTGTTAGAGTTCTAATTACTTATTCTTTCATCTCACTCTCACTCTCTTTTGTACCTGGTCAATTCTCAGCTAGACTCTTAGGAATATCGCTAGGTTTCCTGAGCTCAGAAGAATGGAGGGGTTCCAAGTCTTGGGATGTGTGTGAGTTTCACTTCAAAACTATCATCTGGAGTAAGCCCAGATTTGTGAAACCTATGGTCAGGGATGAGACATTTCCATTAGTGGAAAGGGTTTCCTTCCAAACATCCCTTGGCGGGAATTTTGAAACTGGTATAAGAAGTTTGGAGAACTCTTAAGTTAACTATTATACCTGGGGCCCTTTCCCTGGGCTCTTTCCTACCTGTGCACATGACTGCTGCAAAGACCCAGCACTGTCCATAGCGCACTGGCTGGCAGCCTGTGGCATGCCACTGCTTCAGGATGGCTACACTGCCAGTCCACTCTGCAGGGTTGACACCATCTGTGTAATTCTCACTCCAGTTTCCATTGAGCACCCCATTGTCATCATTGCTATTAATCTGAAGAGAAGTCATAGATAGAAACATTAAAAACATGTTTTCCCTCAATAAGAGTTGATGTGTGGGAAGGCCCATGAGCCTTAGACACAGAGAAGACTTTTTTTTTTTTTTTTTTTTGGTACCAGGGATTGGACTCAGGGACACTCAATCACTGAGCCACATCCCCAGCCCTGTTTTGTATTTTATTTAGAGACAGGGTCTTGCCGAGTTGCTTAGGGCCTCGCTAAGTTGCTGAGGCTAGCTTTGAAGTTGCAATCCTCCTGTCTCAACCTCCTGAGCCACTGGGATTACAGGTGTGCACCACCAAACATGGCCAAAGGAGACTTTTGACCTTATTTCACTGAAGATCTTCCAGATCCGCTGGGGAAGGGGTAAAGGTGGAAGGCCACTGTTCAGACTTGTCCTCCACTTTTAGTTTATTAATTTGTTTCTACCTATTGCAAAGCTGGAGCTTGGCTCTGAGTACTTTAAAACATATTTCAGGACAAAGGAAATTTAGAAACAACAAGATAATTTCTCAAACTGGAGTGACAATCAGCTTTTCCCAAAACATGCAATTTGGAAATAACAGAGGTGATGAGCCATGCTTAGCTACTTCAGAGCTCAGTTGAGAAAACTTGTTACCCACATTTTGGCATCAGTCTTAACCCAAATGGCTTTGATTCTATTCCACCCCTGCAGGAGGCAACTGTGAGAGGGCAAGGGAGGCCCTGCACAGTCTCCTCCCTCCCTGGGCACACCAGGGACCTCACCATGGCACACACCACTCTGCTGATGTAGACAGGGCTTCCACGCAGGGCACAGTCTATGGCGGAGTCGATCTGGAAGTTCAGGCTCTTGTCTAGAAGTTTCAGGCAGATGTGTATGATATTTTCTTCAAACTGCAAGGGGAAGTGCAGAGAAAGGAGGTGCCTGTGCTTGGCATGTGAGGATGTGTAAAGACATACACGGTCCAGCTCTCCAAAGGAGTGTGTTTGTGGAATACAAACTAGTTTGGAAGGTGACTTTCCAACAGAAAACCATTGACTGCCTTCCAGGCAGGTGTGGGTTTCCAAAGCTCTGGGGTTATAACCCACTTGGAATGTATGTCCTGCAAGTCAAATCCTTCCTCCTTCATTTTGAAGTGATGGTTGCTACTGTTGGGTTTTCCCAGTGAGTTGGGCTGGCAAAAAATGTCTGTTTGCCCCTTTATTCTGGATCTGCTGAGATACTCTTACTAAAACCATGTTTCTTCTTCTTCCACACTCACTTCACAGCCCAGATTATCACTGAAAGCCATGATGTAACCTGTCATGGCACCCACAACTCAGTGGGGCTCTACCATACATGTGAGTTACAGAACTTCCCACTCAAGGAAGCCTGGCTCCTTCTCACCCTTCTTCTTCTTCCACACTCACTTCACAGCCCAGATTATCACTGAAGGTCATGATGTAACCTGTCATGGCACCCACAACTCAGTGGGGCTCTACCATACATGTGAGTTACAGAACTTCCCACTCAAGGAAGCCTGGCTCCTTCTCACCCTTCAGGCTTAGTGTGATGTCACTTCCTCTGAGTCTTCCCTGAGCCTGAACTTGGGATAGGTCTTTAGCCCTTGGAAGAGTGCCTGCTCCCATCAGATTCAATAGATGCTATAGTTGAAGTCCATCCTTCCTGCCTAACGGTACTCAGCTCTTTCCAGCTCTTCATATAACTCTGGACCCCAGACTTGGCACAGTTTGTCCAGCACATAGGAGAGACTCCATACATCTTTGTTGAATGAGTGTAAATGAATGCAATGTATTCCTTTAAACAGTGGGCAATAAGCACAGGTGTCTTTGCTTATGCGTTCCCTCTGCCTTCACTTGGCCAATTTAGCTCAAGCACTGTCACTCTCAAGAAGCTTCCTCAATACTTCCCCCAACCAACAGCTTTCCTCCTGATCCTCAGAACATCTGCACCTGTCAGTCTTCACTTATCCTTTTGCAAGATATGTGACCTGTTTTTGTGTGTGTGTGTGTGTGTGTGTGTGTGTGTGTGGTGGCCCCATTACACTGTGAGATCAGGCATCGTATTTTGTCTCTCTTAGCACCTTGCTTGGCACTGAACCCACATTCAGTATAAGTTTACTGAAGAAGAGAGACAGACAGGGAGGAAACCAGGGCTCCAAAAGCAGTAACTCCTTGCTTCTGCATCTCACAGATGATAGTCAACTCTTCTCCAGGGGTCTCTGAAATCCCTAAATACCCTAGCTGAGTGAGAAGTTAGGGAAATGAGTTGTGGCCAGTGGAGGCTGCTGTCTCCTTCTTAGTTGTAGTCACCTGGGCCCTGATTGGGCCTGAAGACCATGTGTATTGGAGTTCTATCAGGGAAAGTTCAGGAGAGGAACCCATATACAGCTGACAAGACCTTTCTAGAGAACTCCCAGGGTATCCCAGCTGACACCCCTTCTGAGAAGCCAGAGACTGATCCTCTCTCTCCCTCAGTGCTCCTAGCACCTAGGCTCAGCCTAGAGAACCCTCTTCCCTGGCCTGGCCTTGGGCTTCCTAGAGCACCTGCTGGGAGGTTGAGCTAAATGAGAGGAGGTCTTTAGTTTTCAAGCCTGGCAACAAATAGGATGTTATTTTATATATGAAATCACATTTTTAAATATGTGTAGAAAAAGTGTAGAGGAACATACACCAAGCTGATGACAGTGCTTGGGATGACCTCCGTGTTCTACGTGTCTATTTTTGCAATATTTCTTTGCAAGTTTTTTAAGCAATCATGTACTACTTTTATAATGAAAAGATCTATCATCGAAATAAAAAAAATAAAAAGATAATAGTCATGTGGAGGGAGATGCATTGCTGCTTATTAGCACAACTTCTGGCTGAGATGTTCAAAGGCAAGTTTTCATTAGTGTATCACCAAGAGTTGTAATGATGAAGCGAGAGAGTGGAAAATAGAATCCCACAGGAAACATAAGTTTAAAAAACAAAATGCCAGGCACCATCATTGCCATTGTGATCATGTCTCCTTCATTCTCACCCTCACACTCAGTAGACCACCTGGTGTGCTCTTATCTGCCTTTTCCATTTAGATCTTGTTGTCCAAGGGAAACTATGAGCAGCACAGAATGGACCTTCCACCTTCCTATGGTTCCACTAGCAACCTGGGATCCATCTTACCCCTTTCTGCTGCCATTTAGTTAGTGTCACTCTGCAGTTCACCCCACTCCTGCTCCCCGCTCTCTCCCCACAAGCCAGGGCCTTGACGGGCTGAGACTCACCTGTCCATAGTTCCAGGGGCACGGGCGGATCCAGTTCTTGTTCCCTTGGTAGATGAAGCCATAATCATTCATAACATACTCCTGCCTTTGGGGCTCACTGTCCAGGTAAACAGCGTCCCCTAAGATTCAAAGCAGGAGGGCACAAAACAGAAAAGTTATCTTGTCTTTCCCGTCCCATTCGTGTCCCTCATGATCCCCTGGAAACTGAGCTCTGGGGAGGGCACCTGGAGATACCATAAGGGGCACAAGCAGGGGTGGGTCTTGGGAGACAACATCCCCAGCATCAGCAACAGGCTCAATATGAACTTGAGGTGGAATAATAAAAATTTACCTTTGGTGAAATTTCTGGGTTTCCAAAACACATTTACACCCTAGCCCCATTTGAAGATTGAAAAAACCTGACAAGTGATTAAGTAACTTGCCGGAAGTTATATGTAAATACAAAGCTGGAATCTGAGCACAGAGCCCATGCAACTCCATATTCTGTGTTTTCTGTTATTTTCAACGAATCCTGGTTGGAAAAGAGCAAGTAGAATTTTAAGGGTTGGCGTTGACCTCATCCTTCCTGTTGTAGGAATTTCATCTAAAGGAAGTATTCAGCTTGTGAACCAAGATTTAGACAGTAAGTAGCTCATTTGAGTGCTGTTCATAGGACTGAAAAGCTGGAAACAATCACAATGCTGTTCTTGGGGACTGGTCAAATAGCTTCATTGCATCTCCACCACAGGATTCTCTATAGAATTAATAGAAAGGGGCAAATTTGGATATATGGACATGGAAATCTACATGTGATATATTAAACTAAAATAGGTTATAAAATAATATGTACAGCATTCATTGATTTTTGTTAAACATATACGCATATATGAGGAAAGGATTTTGAAGCCTATTCTAAAACATGTTAATGGTAATTGTTTTTGTTTTCCTTTTGCCTACTGGTATTCTCCAGATTTTCCCAAATGAATGTGTTATTTTTAGTGATATAAAAAATTATCTTTTAAAGTTAAAGGCTGCTTAAACAAACAAAAGGCCAGGGGAGCAGGTGTCCCCTTTGCAGTATTCTGGACCTGTCTGGAAATGCTACCTGAGCCTGAGGTGAAGGAGCATCCTGCCCTCATTGGAGGGAGCCTCAGACACAACCTAATAGGATGCTGGTGTAGGAGAACTCCTTGCTGAGATGTGTTTTATCGAGGGTTTGAACAGTGGGGTGAGAAGCTATAGATTCATGGTGAGATCACATACATCCTTGAATCACAGAGTGGAGATTCCCAGTCAATATATGAGGCACAGTGATAGGCAGCTGTCAGTCCCAACTGCAGCTCCCACCAGTCATTACCCCAGTACTGGGTCTCCCTGGAATCTGGATGCAGTCTAAGCTCAGGAGAGAAGCCCTGCAGTCTTTCCTCAGCTCAGATAGGTCCTCATTACATGCCTAAAGCCCACAGTCTTGGAGATCGGAAGAGGGTATGTGTGTGTGTGTGTGTGTGTGTGTGTGTGTGTGTGTGTGTGTGTGTGTGTGTTAGAGAGAAAGAGACAGAGAGAGATATACAGAGAGAAACAGACACATATGCAGAAGACAGACAACTGGCCCTCCTTGCTCCAGGAGCATGCCTCTTTACCCAATATGTCAGTGATGGTCCTGAGCCATTCAATGACAGGAAGGTAGGAAGGGGATCATCCTCTAGTCAGAAGCTTTTCTGGCCTCTACCCAAAGCAGACAGGACCATTCTCCACTGTCAAGACTTCTCGCCCTTCTTCCCACTATCTCCTGCTGCCCTGTGCTTTATTCTGCCCACAGTGTCCTTATGTCTGGCTAGGCAACTATCTCTACACCTGGATAGATTTGGAGGACAAGGCTTATGGGATAGAATATTGGCATATTCACTGTGGCTTTGTTTGTATAAGAGAAAAATTGCAAATAGCCAAAAATGCCTGGAAATAAACATGTGGTACATCCAAGTAGTAAAATGATTGTTAAGAAAAATGTTCTGGTAGGATGAGGCTGGGGCTGTCTGTGCTCAGTGACAGAGCACTTGTCTAACACATGTGAGGCACTGGGTTCAATACTTAGCACCACATAAAAAATAAATAAATAAAATAAAGGTATGCTGATCTACTCATAGAGGATTACTAAGTTAAAAAAAAGAAAGAAAATGTTAGGAATTGATAGAAAAATATTTTCAATGTTGAATGCTGACATGAGGAAAGCAAGTTGGAGACTGCTAGGTATTATATAATCCTGCTTGTGGAATGTATTATAGAATCACACATACAGGCACATACATACACATATTTGATTAATTATAGAATATTTTGTAAGGCTACACAAGACAATGTTAACAGGTTTCTGCTGGAGAATGGAGCAGAATTTTTTTTTTTTAATATTTTAGTTTTTAGTTGCAGTTGGTCACAATATCTTTGTTTTATTTATTTTTATGTAGTGCTGAGGATCAAACCCAGGGCCTTGTACATGCTAGGTGAGGTTCTACTACTGAGCCACAACCCCAGCCTGGGATTGGAAGTTTTAACTTTTCACCTTATACCTTTCTCTCCTTTCCTCCCTTTCCCTTTCCTTTTCCCCTCTTTCTCTCTCTTCTTTCCTCCCTCCCTCTTCTTTTCTCTCTGTATCTTTCAGTTTTACCCTTTACTTCATTCATCAAATGTATAGTGTGCTTATTACTTTTAAAATGAGAAATCTCAAATCAACTTCAAAAATGTATGATGAAGGCAGGTGTTAACATTGGTCCAATTTAATTACAATAGTTTTCTATTTAAGTAAAGATTATTTGGTTCATAATTTTAAAATTCTAAATAAGTAACAAGGTCTCCCTGTCCTGGTTGTTGACAGTAGGGGGTGGATGCTGAGTACCTGGGATTTTAGGGTAATTGTAGGTGGTAGGAGCAGGGTCAGGAAACCCTCAAGCTTGGCTTTCTATAGCAGGACAGACAGACAGAGATGAAGGAGCCTTTCATGGGCACCTGCCTTACCTGTACACCAGGGATTAAAGAGCAGGATGAACTCTCCAAGCTGATAGGCTGTGACAGGCCCTTGGAAGGATTCGATACGAACTTTCAGTAGGTACCGACCCACAGCTGCCATGGGTGGGGGACACAGGCTCACTTCTAGGGATGTGGCCCCATTGGTCTCCAGAGAGGCGATCCAGGGGCTGGGGCCACCACGGCTTGCCAGGCTGAATACTGCCCGAGTCCCTTTAGCTAGCTCTGGCAGGGGTCCTGGGGGGAAATAGAGCTGACACCCTCTGTGGTTACCTCCCAGAGGTAACTACACAAAGTTCCCCCAACACACACACACACACACACACACACACACACACACACACACACTCACACACCCTGGGAGCCAGCTGAGGTCCTTACCAGTCTCAGTCACGAAGATGATGTTGTCCAGGCCTGGCTGGAAGCCCCGGTTCCTAAAGTACAGGGTGATGTTGAAGGCCTGGCCCCGGCGAACAATAAGCTGGTCAATGCTGATCTCCTCTGTGTGGTGCCGCATATTGTTCTGGTAGCTCTGGAGGTCTGTGAGGGCCACCTCCAGCCCTGTGATGGGGCAGCCAGGGACAGACAAAAGGAAAGGTTGTGGAGCTTGGTCCAATCCTGTTTATTACTTACTAATTGTGCAAATTTGAGAAAGTAACTTGGCCTCTCAGCACCTGATTCCATGTCGGTGAAAGAGAACATATAATACCAGTCTGAAAGTTTAGATTTGAGGGTTACCAAGGCTCCATGAATGTGAGTTCCTCTTCCTTCCTTCCTCTTCCATTTTCTCTGAATTTCTATCCCTGCACAGCTGAATGTGAATGATTTTCTACCTCTAACTTCTTTTGTAGACCCATCCAAGTTTGATTGCTTCCAAGTTTGATGGCAGTCCAGCATGTCTTCCAATTTACTCTAAGATGCACTTTCTTGGATTCAAGATAACAGTCTTACTTATTTGTATACTAGCCTCCAAACCTGGGGGCAAGTCCCTGGATCAGCTTCCCCTGGAATAACTGTTCCTAGATTAGCTGCCTTACTTTTAACAATTTGTTGGCTCTGTGACCACCACCAATGCCAATGTGCCCAAAGTCTGGGAGCTTGAATGCTGAGGAAAGTCAGAGAAAGTTTCACTCTCAGCCTTTAGGACTTTCTGCTAAACTGAATTCACTGTTCTCAGAGAGTGGCTCTCCCAGAGGGCCCTGTTTTTGACTTCTTGTTTGACCATGGAGGAGAACTGTCCCTTTCCACATGCACGTAATTCCTCTCTCTTCACCTCATTCCTAGTGAGTACCAGCCTCCAATGGGTCTTCTGCCTCCTGTGTCTCACCCCACCACCTTCCCTTAACACATCACCCGATTACCTTTCCTCAAGACAGTTTGATCATGCCATCCTTTGGCTTTAAAGGTTCAAAGATACCTTACATCTACCACATTAAAAAGGAAAACTCCTTTACTTGACCCTTATACCCTGGCCCTAACTTATATTGAAAGCTACTTCTCACCACTCCCACCATGGGTCCTCTCCTCCAGCCTTGCCCTAAGCATATGGCAGCTACCTGTCTGTGCATTTTGTTCCTGCTATAACTCCACCTCAGAATGCCTCCCCACTAACCAAATTCCACTTGTCCTGAGATCCACCTCCCTCGTGAAGCATGCCCCAATAGGCAAACCCTTATTCCCATCTCCCACTGATTTATGGCATTTAATTTAACCTATCTTAAGTCTTGACTGCTCAATCAACTTGTTAAGAGTCATGCTTATTGTTCATGCTTATTGATATCAACAAATTTTTACTGAGATCCTATTACTTTCAGAATCGACATCAAATATTTTTCTTACTTTTTAAAAATTGTAATACTTAATTATTTTTACTGAGCCATAATTAATATGGTCTAGAGTTATTCAACAACTTTTTAGTTACTAAACATCTTCCACATATCTGAAAAAAGTGTTATTTTATATGGGTAAATTCTTAGTCTCTTTTTTATTTATCTGTTTTCCCCTACGAGATGTAAGCCAATAAAGTCAGAACTAGCTGTTTTGTCTTGGCCATAAGATTTTAAAAAATAAATGAATTAGAACATTTGATAAAATATAATACCCTTTTATGATAAAAATGCTCAACAAACTTAGAAGGGAGTTTCCTCAAACCAATAAGTGGTAACAATAAAACCTCACAGCCAACCATATTTAATAATGAAAAATTGAATGCTTTCCTGCTAATCTTATCTTATTTTATTTATTTATTTTTATGTGGTGCTGAGGATTGAACCCAGTGTTTCACACATGCCAGGCAAGTGCTCTACCACTGAGCTACCACCCCAGCCCATCAATTGATATTTGACAAAGGTGTCAAGTTGATTTAATGGGGAAATACTCCTTTCAAGTGGACTTCCTATGTGAAAAAAAGAAGTTGGATGCCTACCTCTCACAATATGCAGAAATTAACTCAAAATGGATCAAAGACCTAAACATAACAGCAAAAACCCATGGAAGAGAATATGGTCCATGATCTTGGACCAGGCAATGCTTTCTTGGATATGACAGCTGAAGCAATAAGCAGTAAAAGAGAAAACTGATAAATTAGAGCTCATCAACGTTAATTTAAAAATTAATAATTTTTTTTCTTCAAGAGCACTATAAAGAGCTGGGATTGTGGCTCAGCAGTAGAGTGCTCGCCTCACATGTGTGAGACCCTGGGTTCAATCCTCAGCACCACATAAAAAAATAAATAAGTGAAATAAAGTTATTGTGTCCAACTACAACTAAAAAATAAATATTAAAAAAGAACACTATAAAGTGAAAAGATCACCCACGGAATATAAGAAAATATTTGTAAATAATATATCTAATAAGGGACTTATACCTATATATATATATATGTACATATATATATTTGTATACATATATCAGCACATTTTAGGTATTCAGAAATGTGTGCTAGATTGAACAGAGTCCTCTATCTTTTGCACAATCATCCAGCATTTATTTTAGACTTCAGATGAAATGTTATGCCATCTGCATTTGGAGACAAAAAACTGAGGTTCAGGTAGATTAAATGTTTTGCCTTAGGATAAACCCAAGATTCCCACTCCAGTCCACTGTTCTTTCCATTATCCAATAGTGGCCACCTATTGCTGTCTTTCACTCTTATTTGGAAAGAACATCACAACAGTGCCATTGGGAAGACACTTAGCTTTTTCCTGGTAGTGGAAAAAAGAAGCTCATCCTTTTGGTAGACCAGTTGACTAGACAGGGAGCATTAACTGGCTCCAGCTCAGGTGGGGCGCATGACTTAGGCTACCCAACAGGTGTGGCAGCATCTGTCTTTTAGCAAGCACAGCAGCCAGATCTCATCCTTTGGATACATCATGAGTCAAGCTAATTTGCACCCATAGCATGGGAATTATTCTTCAGTTCCTTCATTCTCTATTGTGCATATTAATTCTCTTTGAGGTAAGGGTAGAATGAGGTAAAATGATCAGGGAAATAACAAAATTCTAGGAGGATCTTTTAAGGAAGATCTCAATATCTGTTCTAGAGTACAAAGAAGCACACATAGGGAAGTTCATTGCAATGTTGCCTATATAACTGAGATATTAGAGACAACCTAAATGTCCATCAGAAGGGAACTGGATAAATAAATTACTTATATGCATACTATGGAATATTATGCTAAGTGGAAAAATTGAGGTAGATCTATAGATACTGACTGGCATGGACAGAGCATCAAGATAAACTGTTAAGTGAAAAAAAAATCAAGTTGTAGAAAAGTGTTTACAATATGATGATACCATGGATATAAAAAAAAGCCACACATGCTAATATTTTGTATTACCTTGAATATGAATATATATATATATATATATATATATATATATTCAATATATGTAATGTTAATGTGTAGACCATAGACTGGTAACAGCATTTACTCTGGAGATGAGGATGGGTGGGATTGGAAGTAGAATTGGGATACCTGTAATTATTGCTTTATTTTACTCCAACTATGTATTCTTATATTTCCTTGTTAATTAAATGTTATACAAAAATTTTTTTAAAAACTTAAACAAAAATCAACAAAGGTGAGGCTGTTACATTTGTAGAGCAAGTTAAAAGTTCATACCTGTAAACGGTTTCAACTAACCATTGAATCTTCATAACAGCTCTTTTTAGAGAGAGGGAATGATGTAGAGAAGATGTGGGGAGATAAGCTAAAATGAGGAGACCCTCTGGAATGAAGGACAAGGAGAAGAAATGAAGATGCAAAGAACTTTAGAGTTGCTAGACAACTTCAAGACTGTGTTCCAACCCCTTCCATTTTTCAAGCATGGGAGGTGGAAATCAGAGAAATGACTTGCCCAATGACAAAAGGTCAACTAGTAGCAGAAAAGGATAGGAATCAGACCCCCTAATCCCTGGCTCTGCCTTATCCCATTCAGCTATGGAAGCAGCCATGCTGATTTGCAGGTGTGTTTACCTGTCAGCTTCCAGCCTATCTCCTGATTCTCAGACCACCAATGAATTCTGAGGATTCTGGGGGTCCTTCTCTTCCTAGGTCAACTCTTAATTTACTTCTTTATTTCTTGGAATCCATCCTTTTCCCTGGACTTCCTAATTCTCTCTGTGTCCTTGTCCCTAACACTCCAGCAGCCCCAAGAGCCTCCCCTACCTTGGGCCATGGCGGCTGCCTGAGGGCTCCTGGGATGCTTCCCACAGAACAGCTGGATGGACTGGAGCTTCAGGAAACTGGTCCCGGAGTGTCTGCTGCCCTTTGCATCCCAGGACTCTGGGAGACACCGAAGGCGGGGCGGGTTGCTGCACTGCTGCCTGCTTACTGGGCAGATCACAACTGGTTTTCTCACTTGCCCTTTGGTTTTTGTTGGCAGTGTCACTTGGCTGAGAGGAGGTGCAGAAGCCAAGGAACTATCAGGGCCTAGTATCATGTGGCTCTTGAGTAGTAGGGCATTTTCTGGCAGGTGCTGTGCTGTGGTGGGGGAGCCGAAGGAAAGGTGAGCTGACATAGTGTCCAGGAGGATGAAGTGGGGTGGACCTCTGTGGGAAGGACTATCACTCACAACTAAGAAAGCCTCAGTGAGCCTGCTCTGTGCCTGAGCCCTCTCCTTTATCCCAAAGAGTCACTCTGTGGGGCTGGGGTTGTAGCTCAGTGGTAGAGAACTGACCTCTCATGCGTGAGGCAGTGGGTTCTATCCTCACCATGTAAAAATAAATAAATAAGACAAAGGCATTAAAAATGGTGAAATATTTAAAACAAAAACAAAAAGCCACTCTCTGGACATTAAATGCAAACAGATCCCACTCTATATCACCCTTGAGATGACTTTAATTGTATTTATTTTTTTGTCAGTTTCATTGTTTGGGATGAGACCTTCTAGGCCCAATGTGAATCTCAAATAAAAACAATAGAAGAAGAAACATTAAGATTTATACCAGAGTTTTGGAAATAGCTGAGAGGACAGAATGCCAGTGAGCAAGGACCTTGATTCTAATAAGAAAAGTAAGAGGGCTGAGGATGTGGCTCAGTGACAGAGTACTTGCTTAGCATGCGTAAGGCCCTGGGTTTGATCCTCAGCACTGCCAAATAAATGAAGTACAAGTCCTTGGGGCGAATGTACCACTGCTTCTGGCAGTAAGGAGGTTTTGAGGAATGCCTAGGGAGAAAAGCATGGATGAGAGAAAGGAGAAGACAGGAGGAAGGACCCAGAGTGAGGAGTGGGACACCCACTGCCTTCCCTGATATGGGACACTTCTTCCTGCATTCACCTGCTTTCTGAGCCTTTCTCTCAGGAACCTGTACACCAGCATCCTTCTCTCTCCTGTTTTTCAAACTTCTCTGTCCCCAGTCAGCTCTTACAGCTTTTACTTGCACAAATACAACTCACTGTTTTAACAAAACTGCACCCACCTTCAACCCTCACCCTCTTCAACCCTGCATGTCCCTTTAGCCCCTACTCTTTCTCTCAACTCCACCCCTTAGCCAAACCTGTCTTCTACTACTTCACCTCCTGCCCACTCAGCTCCTTGCTGCAATCTGCCTCTGTCCCCAGATTCTCCTGACACTACTGTCACCTATGCCTCTGATGGCACCAGGCACCCTTTCCTGCTCTTATCTTGCAAGGCCTCTTGCAGCTCTGAGTGTGTTGACTATTCCTTCTGGGTTAGGAAACCTCTCTCTCCCTCTCTGATATTATCTGACCTCTCCATCCAGTCTGTATTCTTCTCAGTCCCCTTCATGGGCTCCCCTCATCCCTATGCTGTTGCTTCCTAGAAATTTGTCTTGGAGTCTCTTCTATTCTCACTCCACTCTCTCCCTCATGACAAGGGACTCCCTGAAACTGTGGACAGCAGGCTTCACCTGCTGGAATCTTCTGCTGTGCCAACCTCGGACCCAATGTGTCAAAAATGGACCTCTTCCCCTCGCCCCTTCCTCTCAAAATACCTGCCTTGCCTCCTGTACTTCTGGTCTTGCTGAGTGAGGACATTTCCCACCCAGTCACTCCAGGCAAAAGCTGTGTACTATTCAATGCTTCTGTAGCCTCCTTGAGCCCACTAGTCCAGTCCAGCTCCTGATAATCTCCTAAAATTGGCCCTTCCTCTCTGTGTCCTTTGGCCCTGCCTTAACTAAACTCTATTTGCTTGGGCAATTCCCAACCAGTTTCCTACCTTGATTTCTCTAATGGGTTACTAGTGATTTTTCTGAAGTGCCAATTTGACTATATTGCTCCCCTGCTTAAGATCCAACCGTAGATTCAATTCAGATTTCTCAACATTACCCTCAAAGCTCTTGAGGAACTTTCCCTCCCCATCTGGGATCCAGGCAGACCAAACCCCTTCAGCTCTCTGATGGAGATCTCTCTCCACACCTCTGTGTTCTCTCTCTCCCTCCCTCGCCCGTTCTCTCCCCTGTGTGTTGGTCTATCTCTTTCTAAAGTGGTCTCTCTTCCTCTACTTCCGCTAGTACTTAGGCTCACGTGTCACCCCTCCAGGAAATCTTCCCTTTGCTGCACTGGAAGTTCAGAGGCTCACTCTTCTGCATTCCTGCTGGCCAGCTCACACTTCGAGGTCATGCCTACCAATCTTTCCCCTAGTCCCTCTTGAAGGCATGGACTATTGTCTTATTAATACTATTGCCAGTGTTTACTAATGACAGTGACTAATAGTAGTAGAACTACTAATAGAACTGATAATGACTTTTTTTAGAGAGAGAGAGAGAGAGAGAGAGGAGAGAGAGAATTTTTTAAAAAAATATTTATTTTTCAGTTTTCGGTGGATACAACATCTTTATTTTATTTTATGTGGTGTTGAGGATCAAACCCACACATACCTGGCGAGCGCGTTACCGCTTGAGCCATATCCCCAGCCCCTGATAATGACTTAAGCACCAGATTCTGTTTTAAGTTCTTTATGTATACTATGCCATCTAATCTCAAAACAGTTTTATGAGGGGCTGGGGTTGGGGCTTAGCAGTAGAGTACTCACCTAGCATGTGTGAGGTCCTGGGTTCGAACATCAGCACCACATAAAAATAAATAAAATAAAGGTATTGTGTCCAATTACAATTTTAAAAAATAAAATAAAATATTTTTAAAAATATAATTTTATGAGTTAGGAATTCTTGTGGTTCCTATATTACAGATGAGGAAATTGTGGTGTAAGATATTAGCTTTCCTGAGATCCCTAACAAAAATCTAGTGAGGCTGCTTTTGAATGCAGTCAGATTCCAGAACTTTCCAAGTGCTTAATGCAATATCTCAAACACAGTCAGCTTTCCAGTTCATATTACTTGCTTGATGGAGCAAATTAATTAAAATAAGAGATCAATGCCTGAAACCACTGTCACTTGCTTCGATGGGTTGTTTGGGGAGAAGGAAGGGACACAAGCATGAGAGTTTCATTTTGAGGGTAGATAGGAAGGTCAGTGCAACTAGGATGGTCCAGTCTGAAGGGGTGTGTTGTCAAAAGAGAAGGAATCTGGAGGCTATGGAGGGAAATGATGCCCTTGGGGCCAACCTAGAAAATCTGGGAAAAGCTGAGAGGATTTTGGAACCATCAGGCAGCCACCATGACTAAAGTCCTTTAGGCTGTACCAGCCCAAGTGGCCTGAACTCCACACAGCCACTTGGGAGCTCTGACTACACCTCAAGTCCTCCGCACACCTGGGGCAGAGAGCGGAGCATTCATACCATGTCTCCCCCATAGGCCCTCTTATGGTCAAGCACACTGAGAAAACTTGTTAAAGAAGCCACTGAAAGGGGAGAAGAGGTAAACGCACCACAGGGTCACTCATGGGGCTAGGAAAACCCACCATGGCTCCTCTGCCAGGACTTTGGGGGCTGAATAAGCCCTGAACTCTAGACCAAATGAACTAATTTACAGGTTCAATTTTTCATTTGATTGCTGAGAACCATTAGTCAGAGGGTGTGTGGATAGGTGTAGGGAACAGGAGAAGCAATTCTGAACCCTTGGCCTGGGGAAGCTGAGCAGAGTTGATGAGCACCTTCCTGTCTGAACAGAAGCAGGGCCATGACCTCAAGGAGGGACACCTGAATAGACAGATGTGAACACACCTGCCATCGACTTGGGGCAGGCCAGATCTAGCAAAGTGAGGTGGGGAGCCTGCAGACCTTTCTAAGACCCAGAGAGAGTTGAGAGCTAATTCCGGACCTGCCATGAATTCCTGTTATGCTTTTAAGAAAATTACAGTTTCTGTATCCGTAGAATCAGGACCCATGAGGTCCTGGATGCCAGAGTTGGCAGATCTAAGTGGATTCATCTGCTCCTCCATCTTCCCACCTCCAGAAAAGAAGATAGTCATTCAGGAGAAGGGATTAAACTGGCCAGAAGACCTCTGTCTAAGAATGTGCTTCACAATTTACAAAGCACCTTAGAATCAACTTTCTCATTTTATCCTCACAGCAACCCTGCAAGTGGAGGTGGGCCTGGCACCACTATTGCTATCATCTTATTCCCAGGGAAACCAGAGTCTCACCATGAAGTCAAGAGCTCTTTGCTTTGTATCATGCAATGGTGCTGGATGTTGTAGACTCCAAAATATCAGCCCAAAGAACCTGAGGGTGTTCTGCGCATATGCTGGTGGACAGGAAGACCAGAGCAGGAGCCATGGCTGCTTGCTCCACTGCCTGAGCAGTTTTTTTTTGCTGTGGTTTGTGGGTGGGAACCCCTACTTGGGCCCATGTGTGGGCCTCACTGGGATGTTGGGAGGCGAGAGGAAGTTCCCTCAGAATCTAATCTCAGGGTGCACTTTCACAGTAGGATGAACCCCATGTTCTGAGTCTGGGGGATGTTGAGCTGAAGGGGAGCTTTGAGATCATCTAGCTCCTCTGACAAAAGGGGGGAAACAAAGCTAGATGGACTTTTCTAAGTGAAAAAAAAAACATTACAGAGTATGAATTTTAAAAGCAATTTTGGGGTGAGAAGAGGGAAATCATTTGAAAGGTGGACTAGAAAGACAGGCGACTAGTATCTACATTCCCTGGGTAGCCTGCTCATTCTTCCCTCTCCAATGACACAGTCAGGGGTAGGACAGGAGGACAGTGACTAAACAGAGGAGGACACAAGACAAGCAAGGTGCCACATTTCTGTCCTGAGGGTGAGGAGCCACCTGGAATGCAGCACTGATGAGATAGTGACAGAGCCCACA